GGCTGTTTTCACCGTATGTCTTCCCATACGCCCCGGATACGATGTATTTGACTTGACGCTGAAAACGGTTGTGGGTGCAGAACACCCGTATCGCTACTGCATCTCCCCCCCCCCCCGGACTCTCCGCCACGTCCAACAAGAATGCCCAATTTCCGATTGCTGCTGGCTGTTTCTTTCCCCGCTGTCTTTTTGCTTTGCCTGCGGTGGTGACCCTTGGTGGACTGTTTTTGTCGGACTACCACTCCTCGTTCGAGAAGATGGTGGTCTCTTCGGCGCCCGTGCTGACGCAGTATAGGTTTGACTGGTCCGTGCGGGAGGTGGGGATGCTGATGGCGGTGCTCGGGATGGTGGTGCTGCCGGTGAACGCGCTCGTGGGCCGGATGAGCATGTCCTGCGAGGACAGGTGAGAGGATTGTTGTTGTTGTTGTTGTTGTTGTTGTTGTTGTTGTTGTTGTTGTTGTTGTCTTCACATTAAAAACCGTTCCGATCTCTCTCTACCCAGTACCTTCGTATGTCCGTACTGATCCGACACTCGACGCGGTCGATTCCCGTGGTCACAGGTTAACTTACCCTAAAAAGGTACACTCAAATAAACTGGCCCCGAGGGGTCCGCAAGTCAATAGAAATCAACGACAGATATTCTGGAATCCTCCACTCCCTCCTCGCGCTATGCGAGGTATCAACTGAGACTAGCAGTCACTCTCTATCATGGGCCGGAGAGAAAGAGGTACTACACCCCCTTGGTTCAATCTTTGCTATTTTTTTGCGAACACTCGGGCTAACGTAATAGTTACCCCGGTTCTTGCCTTGTTTCCCATAGAGTTGTCTTCTTATCCCGGAGCGGTGTGGCCTTCCATCTCTGGACTCTCTCCTTTCCTCTCTCTGGGGCATACCCCCACGGCGTGCGGTCACTCCGCCACCCTCACCGTGCTCTCTACTGCTGCATAACCCCGGTGTCCAAGCCGGGGCGTTAGGATAGGATAGGGACAAAGTTGGGGTGACCAGAAGGGCAGTTGTTCTTGTTTTCCCTGGTCGTCTTTTTGTTGATTGCTTGCGGTGGGGAGTGTGCTGCTGCTGCTGCTGCTGCTGCTGCTGCTGTCATGTCTCGGGCGAAACCCACCCGGCCGAAGGCGGTTCCATTTCCAGACACGAAGCCTGAACAATGTTTTTGCTATGGCGTGTGCGTTGTGTGTGTGTGTGTGTGTGTGTGTGTGTGTTTACTAATTGCATCGACCGCGATAACCAGCTGACCAATGAAAGTTCGTCAGTCTCAGCGCGGCTGAAAACAGAAAATGCTTCTTAGGGCCTGATCTGGGACCGTGTAAAGGGGGGGGGGGGGGGGGGGGGGGG